AGAGTCAAGTTGCGCTTCCATTGTGCAAGTACATAATTGGGCCCCCTATATGCTGAGCGTCAGAAGCTGAAGGGAATTCCACAAGGTGAGGTCGGAGGTCAAATAAGGGGCAATTCGAATAGTGAAAAGGTAGGCGGGCTTTCCAATGGTGCGGGAGGATGCGCGTTCCGCAGCGGACTGTACGCCCCCAGAGCCTAGCAGAGCCACGCACGCGCCGCTCACGCCGCTGCCCGCCCATTCCCTCGCCGTCCGACTTCAGTTGTTTAGCGGATAGAGCGTTAGCGTTGAAGAGGGCAGCATCGATGAGAGTCGCGTTATTTCTAAAAAGGGGCAAAGAAGGGTTCCAGTTCCTGGGTTCTGGCACAATTTTCATGGTTTTTCTTCACACTTGCACCGCTGGTAAACCTCTACCTTAATATCTAATGAGCTGCTTTCCATCGTGAACTCCGCCTTCGCGTTAGAAAACGATTGCTGCACAAAGAAGGAACTTTTCTGCAGCACTTGAGTCCAAATCCTCACGTTCTATACGATGGCTCCTTACTGCTGTTCTAAAAAATATACTACGTGCGGTATGTTGCTGGTTAAATAACTTGACTTCGACAAAGAAAAGCATTATTGCTTGAAGATGAAATAACATAAAGATGTGGAGGAGAATCTTGTGAAAATCCTCTCAAAGGCGCACTACCACTACTGCTAATGCGTTGACGTCTGCGTCTCACTCGTACCTCGTACTCTCTTTCTCTTTCTCTTTGAACCCGTTTTTGCAGTGTACGTTTGCGTGCCTCCCTCCTAGATTGGTCCACATCCGAAACAGAAATTTCCTCATTTCTAGCGGCTTGTTTGGCGAATTGTTCTCCCATTCTCCTCATTATTAGAGTCGCATCTCTACTTCAGTTTTTTTGCAGAAGCCATTACTAGATAATCGCCTAATGTGCCTTCAAATATCACTACGAAAGCTCTGACACGCAACAATTCTATTCGAGGCTCGATTTACCCCAAGCCGAATTCTTTGTTGTCGTGCCTCCGCTATATCTTTTCGATCCTGCCGAATTAAAATTCATTTAATGTTTTTCAACAGTGTGAGAGAAATCTCCCCGCAATCAACGCGCAGTTTCTGAAATAGCTTTGAGAGCTTTCGCCAAAAAGCCTCACCTTTTAACGCCCGTTGTTTAAACTTCAGTAATTATGTCTCAGGGCTGAAGTGCGTTCAAAGCGCTGGGAATTCGCTGCGCTCCTCGATTATAGCCTAATAAAGTGGGTCCATTCCAGTTTCGTACCAGTTTTCCCATAAAAATAAGAATTAGAATTATACGACAATGCAAATCTTCGTTTCAACACAAATTCCTCACGGTTTATGAGATATTTACACGTCACTGATGTCGTTTGCAAGAATTTAACAGTGAAATACGATGGATGACAATGCATTTCTCTGGATTCTTTTACAATTCTCGCCAATTTTAATTATTCTCACATTTTTTGCGACTATTACGGGTACCGAGTTGAATATAACGAAGCTTCAGCTTACTAGACCATGTAGACAACATAGTTTTGACGAAGAGGAGCATACCAGCTTAAAGGAATCACTACATTTGAGGCCTGGGTCGGATTAGGGATGAGAGCTAGTCACTCCTTGAGTGTGCGTGGCAAGGGTTCTGAGGTCTTCTTTGTACGCTGCCAGTGGTCCAGCCGTTACGTGACCGCATATTGGTAGCAAGTATGGACGCGATCTTGACCGCTCTCCCGCCGGCATTCACATCTCGGCCAACTCGAACTTGTCCGAACGCGACGAAAACGGAGATACCTCGGTTCTGAGTCTCTTTTGTAGCTGCTGGCAGATGCTGCCATCCCTATCAATCGCGCTATATATGGCGTCTGCGCCCTCTCGCGTACGATGTGCTCTCTCGCGTTCTCTCGCCGCACTGTGTCTCTTCGCCATACCATGGCCCAAAATAAAGGTCAGCTTCAGTGTTTCTATGATGCTCTTTGCTTGTTCTCCTCGCTAGCGTTTCTCAACGAACTTCTTTTCATTTTCCGAACAAAATATACACCAATTGGACCCCGACCCGTGTCTTCAACATATGTAAGGTAGCATTTGCTTCCTCTTTCTCTCGAATCTTTCAGATCTTCATAGACTTCGTACCTTTGACAGTATCCTTTCTGAAACTTTTACCACCGAGCGCGCGGCGACCTTTATTGCGCCCCCACAAATTTTCCTGCTCTTCTCCATGTTTGGCGTTCCTTTTAAAACGATTCGTTATTTTAATATAATCCCTTCAAGGAAAATCCTTACTGAAAGCTGATACGTTCAGAGAAGTACTTGGAACGCATTTCGAGATAATCCTTCTGGGTTTTGTTCTTTTATTCGTTTTGACCATGTGGCAGGATGGAAGCGCGAGCAATTAAAGCTAAGTATGTTCTTCCCTGAGACATTTTTCTCTACAAAGGTCAACTTTTGATGAGGAAGTTATTATAATTAAGGAGTGTATAGAAGGCTTTTGTGGTGTATTATTATCATTCAACATGAGGCATACTTTTGAGCGAGTAGATACAGTAGCGGTCAAGAAGTGTTCGCCGAAACGGTTTGCCGTCCTTTTTTTTTGCCAGAAAAAAATCAATGGTGGCCTCGAAAAATTTTTCTTTAAACATCCTGATTCTTCAAGACTTGAGGATATAAAAACACTAGAAAACATAGTATATCAATCTTTGGAGGGCGTTGCTCAAGCGAGAAAAAATAATGCACTGAAAATCGTTTCGGCGAACACTTTTGACCGCTACTGTAGATTCTCGTTACCGTGACATTCTTTTTAGAATTTTTCTTTAATTAGAAATATTTCAGAATCTTCAACTGCTCTCGTGGGCGGGTTTTTGTCCTTTCGTGATGCAATGTGGGCTCTCCATTAGGATTCATTACGCAAACTGTGCCCATTCGTCGGCCTAAATGCACTAACCCAGCCATTCTCTCTCAATTTGCTTGTGTTCCGCGTGTGAAAAAATCTGCTTGTTGACATTTTCCATCATCTTTCCCTCTCCTCCGTTTTTTTTTTTTTTGGAAAAAGTGTCTGGAACGATGAGCCATGGCTTCTTGCAGCTGTGATCCATGGCGATGTAACTTCTACTTCCAACATAAAAAATACCTTGAACCAACAAGGATAAGGTTTTTGAGCCCTGCTTAACTTGCTAGATGTTTTCCTTGATATTCTTGAAAATGTGTAGCGAGTAACCCTGACGGTCTTCCATACTACGCTCTGCTGAACTCTCCATACCCGAATTCAACACATTGACGCCCGCACCGATTTCGGCGCGCTTCTCACATGTGACATTACCTGCATGGCGCTGGCGTACCCGGGAAAGCACAAGTGGCACATGTGAGATTGAGTTGCAGAACCCATTCACATCACTACAAGCCACATAAATCTCGCCATATGCCTCCGCACAAACTCAGCGACAAGCCTACGCAGTCTGCATTTGCAACAATTGCTCTATTCGTACTTTTCTGTCTCTTTTCTTAGTTTTTTTTGCTTCTTACTTGGTTGTTGCACTGCTTCTTTCTGCCAGGTACTTAAAGGAATCTTCCGCGGAAAAAGCTCCGCCTCCATTACCACAGAAAAACGATACCCCTTAGGCCCCTAGCCTCATGAGCATAGCAAAAAGAACGGAACATAAGCGTTAGTTTCGATAATACTAATCCTACACACAAGACAAAATGATCACTCTTTCCGTGGAAGATTCCTTTAAGGTATCGTTTTCTGTGGTAATGAGGGCGGAGCTTTTTCCGTGGAAGATTCCTTTAAGCTACTTGATAATTGCCAGTGCCTGTTGTTGAATACGCGCGTATTGGCTGAAAGTGAGGTGAGGAATACGCTGTATAGCTTCAAAGGCAAGATTCAGGATTAATTGATGAGGTAATTCCACTCCAATGGGAAAGAAGGGGTGGGATGTTGAGCGCCAGCGGATAACATCAAAAAATTATATGAACCTGAAGATTGAGACAATCCATGTGCTTTATGAATTCTAATGAATTCGAGGAGCTTAAACAAGTTGTATATTTACAGAAGCAGTAGGAAATGTTGTTAAAAGCTGCTTGAAAATTACGTGCAAACCGCTTGAACCCACTTTTCAGACTAGGGAAATTCGATGTGCACGCCCGACATCCATGATCACTTCTTTTTTTGGCTTTTTTTGGGCAGCTTCTTGAAGGCATCCAGTTTTCCAGCATTATTCGACTAGTTGTAAGAGTGAACGAGCAGCGCTTTAAGAGTTGCCCTTGTAATATTTGGAACCTCATGCAGGCTAGGACGACGGGTACCCGCAGGAGCTAGTCTTGGCTACTTTAGTTTAAAGGCTGGTGTGAGCGTATGACGGATCTTATTGTCCGGAAGTCGACGTTCGATGTTTCTTAGCGTCAGAGACTGCTGTCATGAGAAAACTACTCACCACTGCGGGTAGAAGGAGAACTCCTAGGCAGCTGTCTTATTTAATAGGTTATTGATATGGACGTCGCTTGTTGTCATTATTCTCCCTCTTTCGGATTCTTTTGCGGTAAAGTGCCTCGTGCGAGAGAGAAAATCTGGAGTATCGACCAGGTCACCTCATCATTAGGACGTCCAACTTTTCATTAACCCTTTGACGACCGCCGTTATGAATGCGTCACTTCACTTCTTTCTAAATTTTTTCATCAATAATCATTAACTCTCCAACAATTTCACTATTAGTAATTAGCGCATTATTCCGCGAATTCGATAATGTATTTGTGTAGTTTTGAAAAATGCCAAAATAAACCCTAAAAACGTCCCTGTGTTGCCAACCTAGCAAGTTGTGGCACACCGGCGGGCCACCGGTGTTCGTCAAGGGGGTTAATAAGTTCTCGAAAAATTAGGCAACCAGCAAACAGACGTCTGAATCTCGTCGCCAGCTGTTTCAATCGGTTAGCAAACTGATTGCCAGTATTCATGGTAAAAACCGCAGGCGCGGTTTCCAGCGCATTTCTCGAACCCCAAAGATTGCAGGCACCTTTCACAACGCCCAGGCACGAAATAATCCAGCCAGTAGTTAAGAGAACCGCTCTAAAAATTAGTCAATTCAGTAGCATGTGTTGTTGATGTGGTCCAAAACTGCCGACGCGGACGATCTGCGGACGGCACTTTGAATGCTGTTTAATTTTCCCATGAATTGAGTAGGCACTTGGGACGAACCGCTATGGTAATTGGGTCAATGCTGCATTTATATTGCAAAGACCCATAAAGCCTGACGTATAATTTGATAAAGGTTCGTTGGATTGCTTATGGAGTTAAGGAATATTTATGGAAATTATGAGTGATCTTTTTTCAATCCTAATTTAATGGCTCCGATCTCATGAATCCACGAGATACACAGAATGGAAAGAACAGAATATCTGTTGCTTTTGTTGTGTGTGGCGGCAAAAAATTCGAAAACTCGAAAGGGCTGCTACGCGTTCAAAGTGCCCATGGACGTCTTTCACAAATGCTGGTGACGGGTCCACTTGGTTCTCGGAGTGCCTCCACTAAAAACTCTTCTCTGGCCTTCTGGCTTTATTGCATTCACATCTTACACTTCTACTCCATCCTATTCTACCAATCGATTTTTCTCTTACTCTCTTCTCCGAAATCGCGCGCTTCAATCCGATTCTTTCATTGCGACGTTTGATAGCTCCGCCCAAATTACCTTCGATGTCCATATAAAGTGGTTTTTGTTACCGTTTGCTTTCTTCCGGAAAGAACACAAAAGATATTCGATGCGTGTATAAACTTTTCGTGTGCTGGTTCCAGGGGGATCACAACTGACACTATTCATGTCAAGAGAGAATGCAAGAATTCTCCGCGAAGGATTCCTTTAAGGTTAATTGGTGAAGGAGAAAGTTTTGAATTGAGTATCTCTTCATGATATAAAGCACAACCTTGGTGCGTCGGTTGTTGTGTTCATGTAAGCTTGTCTGTATTGTGTGCGTCCGCAAAATGAAGGTGAGCGCATAAGGCGGTTTGCTTGGGAAAAGAGGACCGCTAAACAAAGCTGCGCTAAGCTTCTAAGGCCCTCTAAGTACTCTTCACTCTGCACAAGGTTATCCTGACCTAATGCGAATACCGCCCCTGTCCTGAACAAAGAGTCTTGAAATAAGGAAGGATAAAGAGTAAACATTCGATGCCAATAACAGGGTCGTCTTCACACTTACGGTAATCAGAGCGTACCGCATACATTTTCAAAGTACCGAGTCGGATTGCAGTCTGAGCAGCTGTGTCGCCGTATTTGTTTCATCAGATGTTTAAGCTCCTTTATTGTTATGGCTATTTCGAAAATCACTTAGTTTGGATTGTTCAAGCCTTAGATATTCTTGAAATAACGAATCGATTGTTTCATGAAGGTTTGGTGGTGCTACGTTGAAAGCGACTTATGGTCTTCAGGAAACCTGCAACAAACACAAAAGTGAAAAACTGTCGACTAGGTGCTAAGAACGATCAAACGGACGTAGAAGAGGATTTTGAGATGATAATTTGATGCCAAGAACAATACTAGGAAAGTGCGCGCGAAACTGCGGTGGACTCCAGAAATTCAACCATTCGTTTATCTCCCGTGTTTACGATCAGCTTCAATTCTTGGTGGGTAAACGAAAAGAAGACAACCCTTAATGGCATTTAGCTAGAAAAGCTACGACTGCAGTGGTGAGTTAAAAATAAATTGAAAGTTGCACAGCACGGCGGTCTCCTTGCTATATTACCAATCTTTTTCACTGATAAGAAAATACGTATTTACAGTCGAATTGATCTTGAACAGGCGGAGCAAGGAAAACTGCATTTAAGACATGCCAAAGCTCAATATAGACATCATCGATCCATCCGGAAACAGTAGAAGTAGTTGTGGTGTATTCAAACCTCCTGAGAACTGCATATCATCGTTGACTCCTGTTCACAATGCATAATCAGGAAAGTAGGGATTATCTCGAACTTTTTCATGCTCAAATAATTCCTCGAACCAAAGGAAGCCTTAGAAGAAGCCACAGCATCATCGAAATTTGTGTTGAACATGGCACACGACTAAATTTGTGCGAAGTTCTTGCCAGCTGAGCTGCTCAGAAATCGTTGCATTTAGAAAAAGGCCACCTAACTCTCCCTACTCACAACCTGTTTATGTTGTGGTTGAGAAGAGGACCTGCTGCTAACATCATGGTTTCAAAATACCGTTCATAATGCCTGGGACGCACTCGAGGCTGTCTATCCGCACGCCGCGGTCAACTCATTTCCTAGGAGTCTTCCTTCTTTTACCAAAGCGGATTCTGCCACCTTTGAAGGGTCGAGCGATTTTTTCATCTCAACCTTCAATCAACATTTTCTGTTTTGCACCTCTCTTTTTTTCTGTACATTTCCCTTGACACTTTATCTTGTACTGTAATTTATGGCCACCCTCTAGGCCCTTCTGTGATGCTTCATGCTTGCTTCTTCACTGAAATTGAAGCCGTAGTGTAGGTTGAATGCAGTTTGTCCTATACAATGAATTTTGGCAGCCAGACGATCATTAAGCCAGTGATTTATTTTCCCAGAGAATTCTGGAACCGTACCTGATCTTGGAGGTTCAACAATAGCGAAACGAACTGGTTTAGTTATCTCATTCACAAAGGTTTCATCTTTCTTAACCCTTTGACGACAACGCGAATTTGCACGTAGGGCTCGTGGGCTTTCTGGCGCGCCCAACTCTCGATCAGGAAAAATGTTTAACACATTCACGCCGATGGCCGCCCATATGGGCTGCCAACAACATGCGCTCCTGGGACGATGGCAGCCCATATGGGCTGCCAACTGATAATCGCTTGCCAGGCGCTAGGAATGGACAGATAGGTGGGCAAACCTCGTAA